CACCGCCCACTAATTCCTTTCCCATCTCGTCATCCCTCTATACTATTTTGATAGGTGCAAACATGTGGAAATGTGCTATTATCAACATGCAAATTTCGGGAGAACAACTCAACAAACAAAACACCACAAGCTCCCAAGATTTATTTATTGAAAAGAAAAGAAATGCAAATCGATGGGTTGGGTTGACCCCCAACAAGCACTTCTTTAATGTCATGAGACAGATGAGGACTCCTAAATCTCGATCCATCCTAAAATCTCCCTGGATTCGAGGTTCACGTTAGTGATATGGAGTCTCAAGTCTCGAGCATGGGATGCTTCGAATGATGTAAATGGCTTGTGGACTTGATGAGAATTGAGGCTCCACCCACGATACCTCTTCTTCTTGCCTTCTTCTTTCTTCTCTTCACCCCGCACCATGTAGTACATCATGGATTGACCACCATCATATCCACAAAGAGGGAACGATAATGGTGTGGCCTTTGCTTGGCAAAGAGACGCTACAAATGAGTCCTTCTCGAGAAGTGTATCAAGTTTGGGTGGCAATCTTTGGTGGCACTTGTAACTTGTAGAAACTTCATCCACCCCAACCTCATCCATTGATCGGACACCACTTGCATATTTAACCTCCCTTCCTTCTTCCAAAATGTGTTCCTCCTCTTTTGAACAATCAAAATCTTCATTTTCTTCGATGCCCACTTCCTCCTCCTCAACCGCTTCTCTCACCTTGCCATCCTTGTCTTCAAGCACAAATTGGAAGGCAAATTTTCATGAAAGGTTTTTGATAAAGTCATCTTGCTCCTCCTCCATTGTTACTTGTTCTTCAAAGTTGGTCGTGGGATATTGAAACAATGAGACACTCTTGATCATCCTCACCACATGAGCTCTTCGGGATGAGTTCCTCTTGCTCCACACAATCATCATTGGTCGCCTCTTTCCTCTTCCTCTTCAAATGTCAAGAGACAAAATCGTGCACAAGCTTACTCGACTTTTTCTTTTAGCTTCAAATCGGGAGGTGGGAGGGGTTGGTAAGCCACAATGGAGCATGCTCTTTCAAATTTCTTGATGGCAAGCACCAACGAGCTCTTGATATTTGGAGGTGGAGCGTAACAATGATGGTAAGTTATGAGCATTGAAGGCCTCCATAGCACAATGACGACAAGATGAAAGTTTTATAAAGCAAATTAATCGACCAACGGGCCGAGTAAAAGCTAGCAACGATTGTGAGATGCTCATTTTCAAAACCGACGGGATAGGCAATTTTTTATTCAATTTTCTGGAATTCGGTTTCTATAAAACTTACTCCACCTCATCATATTACCAGAAACAATATTGTTTCAAAAGGTAACATGTACTTAATTTTGGTTCATAAGGCCGATTTTTGATTCATTGCATCATTTATGTCTCTTTCCCGCTAAAATTCACTATTTTTATCATGAGTTTCCCAAAAAAAAAAACTATACAACAATAAGCTATACACCCCATTACATTATCGAATTTCATACCTCACCTTCCTCCTGCCAACTGGCCGGGGCCACGCTAGTATAATTAAAAAAAGACCAATCCTTGTTAATTAATGTAATAAATCATGTTGAGTTAACGTGGAGGAAGGTGCCGTGGAAAATGGATACATAGTAGTAGTTACTAGTTTAGTGTCGACCATGCAGCAGCTGGTTTTTATCTCGTAATACAGTATCGGTGGCTAAGGAAAAGTAATTTTGGTGGCTTACAAATAGATAATATGAGTGACCAAACTTGCAATTCACCCCTAATTCCACGCACAAGTAGTGATGGTAATTTGAACTCGTAGAGTCTGACCTTAGGTATTTATCAGTTCAGGAAATTGAAATAATAGTATACGAATGATATTTTTAGCTATTATTAATGAAGGTAATAAAATATATTTTTTAAGAAACGAGTGGGTTACTAAAACACAACTTCTTACTATTTGAGTCAAAAGAATGCTAGCTCAGGCCTCAGCAATCTCTAGTTGGGTTTTTTCGTCTCTTTTGTTCTCTTGTTTTTTCTTTCTTTTTTCCTCTGTATAATTTGAAAGTGTGAATTCCGTATTTTTACACATCCACGTTCTAAATCCTCTTTTCATCAGTTCGTGGAGCGAGAGCGAGAGAGCGTCAATTTTAGAAGAATTCAATATTGAGAGCGTGGAAAGAGCGTTATTATTATATTAATTTTAATCAGATTTATGACTTAATTACTAAATAGTATATAATAAAGTTGTTATTAATGAGATTGAACAAAAGCCATCAATAAATTTTGATTTATCATAAAAAAAAATCATAAAATTTTGCATCCAGTTTTTTTAATACTACCAATTAAATTCTTACATCCAACGCTTAATTAGACTTTTTCATTATGGATTGTGTTCAAGAGGTTGTGATGGGTTAAGTTAGAGTTGCAGGGCTTGTCATTGAAATTTGTAAGCCCACCTGGCCATCCAAACACAACCCAAGCCCAACCAAATCCAACAAACTCCTAGCCACCTACTGGTGCCACTAGACAACAACAGATCCCTAATTCACCTTTCCTTCTCCTACCTTCCGCATTCTTCTTCTCGCACCAGGTCCAGGAGAGCAACAAACAATGGCTCACTCCCGAAAATGAAACGCAGAGCCCAAAACATCCGACTTGCAAGTAATCGAAGCTGAAATTACTTCTCCTCAATGATCGACCCTATTTCCCCAAACCTCCTCTCCAGTCTCCACTATCCAACTCTGCCGCAACTCCTCCATCTCTGTCTTCTCCATATATATTTCCTTTCGTATCTATTTGTATTTCTCTTATTTTGAATTTTTTTAATCACATTTTCACCTAATAAAAACTTTGAGTAAGTGTAAGATTACATCTTTCAATTAATTAGCTTCAATTACTCGCTCTATTATCTCTATATTTCATTCATAATATTTATTTTATAGTAAAAACATATTTATTTATTTTCAAACATGTGACTATTAAGAGGGAGAAGTTAGAGTGCTAACATCCTATTTTGTTACACATGATTCTACCACATACTCCAACCAATAGGAAAATCGTCACCATCTTTCCATCAAATTTAGTATTTCTCAACTCCTATCTAACACAAAATTTTCCCGTACTTCATAAAAGTTCATCAACTTTCAAAAAAGTTCCCAAAATTTAAGATAAAACAGTTCTTGCAAATCGTGTCGATTCGACAAGAAAACATCGTGTACCAGAGCCCAAATCAGTAGACGATTTAAAACTACGTCGCGGTAACGAAAACATAAAATACTCTACTACACTATCACTAACTTTTCCAATATACCATCTTATACAATTTTTATAATTTAAAAAATACAAACAAAAACACCCACATGTAAATGGCTTATGCACATTCGTGGCGGATAATACTCGTTCCAGTTTCCATAACTCTCTTCCTTCCTTTAAATTAATCCCCCCAACTTCATCTTAATTTCGCCGCATTGGATTAATTAATTGGTTGCATTTTATTTATTAATTTATTCATTAATTAATTCAGTCTTTCTGTTTTTTAGAATTCAAATTCCAGTAGCAGGCGTCGGTTTAACATCAGATCATTCTCGCCAGGCCAGCTGCATGGATTGGTGGTGGGTTGAGTTTTTGCTTGGTGTTCACGCCAAGCTTTCCAATCATGCATATATATTAGCTATGGGGAATATTGATTGGATTATTTGATATTTATCATTTCCCCCCCTTTTTTCAGCATTTCGATCTAACACTACCTTAATTAATCCACATCATGTTTATTATCCATAAAAAACTTAAAACATTTGTGTCATCATCATTATCCATTCCACTAAACATATAAATACATAATTGGATAGAAGCATACTAATAAACCATATTTTAATTTCCCCCCGGTAATCACTCCCTCCCATTTTTGGGCCCACCCTCTAATACTATTTACTCTCTCTCGCCCCTTCCTCCACCGTACCATGCCCACCAAATTCCTTCCAAAAAAAAAAAAAACACACTAATTAATTGATTAATTTAAGAATGCTCTATCTCTCTACACCCTCGATGAGGGCGGGAAGTTCAGTATCGATATTTGAGATACACCGAATATCGTATCGAAATTATCATTATTTGCCTATTTGGTATTATCGAATACCAATTTATATTTTAGGGATCAGGATCGGGATTTTCAATTTGGATTGCTATTCGATATTCGAGATTACAGGATTGAGACAAGTATATGCCGAAATATACCAAAATACCGAGAAAACAAGAAAAATAAAAAATTAATGAAATATAACACACAATTTTTGGTCATTTCCCACTCTTTCATAACTCACAATTCTCCATCCAACTCAATTTTGACTTTCCAGTTTAAGTCACTCTCGTCTCTCATCTAATCTCTTGTTATTTTCATAACATAAAAAAAGAAAACGTTGATATTAGTCGTCTCTCAGCCTCCAATTCATTGAATTAAAGATTACCAATTACAAGAACTTGAGTTCTCATCTCTCCTCCCTTCTCCTTATCCATGTCCTAGCTCTAGGCAAACTCAAGAGTCAAGACTATTTGCTTAGTCTATTTGTTATAAATTAAACAATCAAATCTAATTTATATATTTAATTATTATTTGTAAAGTTAATTGATTTCATTCAACGAAATTTTTTTAATTGATTTCATATTCAATAATACCAATTAGGATACCGAAACACAAATTGGGATACTCAAATATTTAGTGATTGAGATTGTGATTGTGATATCGAAATTATTTGGGGATTGTGATTGAGATTGATTTTAGGGTGTAATTCGATATTCGGGATTTCGTTATTTGATATTAGAATACCGATACCGTACCGTTTTCCACCCCTACTCTAGATAAACAGAAGCATATGGTGATGCTCTGTCCCGTACTCATCACAAGCATGACGAAGTAAACCATAAAGCATAGACTAGAAGTACAACCAACCACATTACAAGTAGCATAAAATAGACCGAAACACTTATAAAACATACATGAAAATCACCAAAACAATCTCATAAAAGCATACCAATAACCTCAATGAAGATTACAAGTTTCTCAAATTTGACTAGAAACCTGATAAAACAGACCACAAATTCGCTGTTAGTGGTGGGCAATAATTATATTCCGCAGGCTGTTTTTGGGCTTATAAATTTGCACTCACTCCCCTCTTCCCATTTTGTGTATCATCGTGATTTGCTTCATTGCTTTCCCCCTCCCTGCATTTCATTGGTTTTGCGTTCAGTCCGTTGTCTCGTTTCATTTGGGTAGGAGCACTCTGCTTCTCTCATGTCTTTCCTCTGTTTTCCGTTTCCCCACTTTGGATTCCCCAGCAGCTACCAGAAAAGTTAGTGGTGGGCTACCAGAAAATGTCTTGATCAGAGTGTTTGTGTTCCTGGGTTTTGACGCAAATCCTCGATTGGTTCATTGCTTTCTGTGCTCTAACTATGCATCTTCTCCGCTTCTTACAAAAAGAAAGAAGAATAAAAATAAGATCATTAAGCTTAACACGCAAGCAGAAAACAGAGACTTTGACTAGTAACCCAGTCCACAGGAATCCATTCTAGTTCTAGTCTAGAACCACTACTTTCAACTACTGGTCTAGAAGGAAGAATCTGGTCTCATTCTTTGCTTTCTCAGCTCTAATTCGCAACCAAATTTCTGCATTCTATTCTAGTTTAATGAAAAAAGTTCCGGTTGTTTTGGTGAAGTCGGGTTTCAGTTTCTTTCATCACCGTGATATCATTTAATGGCTGTGCCGTGCTGTACATATAATGATGTTGACTTATATTTTCTCTGTTTTGCTTCTTTCTCCTCCATCTTTAACTGGGTCTGCTCTGTTTTTTTTTTCTTCCTCTCTCTGTCTTTTGAAGGTCCCTCTGTTTTCTTCGATTTCACTGTTGGCTGTAACCGAGAAAAAGAAGAGGAGCCATGGCTGCTGCTGATTGCGTGATCACTCGCGTCCACAGTATCAAGGAGCGATTCGACGGCACCCTCGCTGGCAACCGGAACGAGCTCGTCTCTTTGCTCTCCAGGTAAACTCCCGCTTCCCCCCTGCATTTCCATTCCCCCTCTATCGTCGTCGATAATGGTTCTGGTTTTCGTTCCACCGCAGGATCGAGGCAAAGGGAAAAGGGATCCTGCAGCACCACCAGATCATTGCGGAATTCGAAGCCATCCCTGAAGAAAACCAGAAGGTTCTCCAGGAAGGCGCGTTCGCCGAGGTTCTGAGATCCGCACAGGAAGCGATTGTGCTGCCGCCCTGGGTTGCTCTGGCGGTGCGCCCCAGGCCCGGCGTCTGGGAGTACTTTAGGGTCAATCTCCATGCTCTGGTTGTTGAGGAGCTCGCTGTTCCTGAGTACCTTCACTTCAAGGAAGAGCTCGTTGATGGAACGTGAGTTAGTCCCCCTTTTGGGTTTTCTTGTTAATTTCGTTTCGATTGTTAGTAACATTTTTCACGCCTCTTGTGGTGGCGGCAGTGCTAATGGAAATTTCGTGCTGGAACTGGACTTCGAGCCATTCAACGCCTCTTTCCCTCGCTCGACCCTCTCGAAATCGATCGGCAATGGCGTCGAGTTCCTCAATCGTCACTTGTCTGCCAAGCTCTTCCATGACAAGGAGAGCATGCACCCTCTCCTTGAGTTCCTCAAGGTTCACTGCCACAAGGGAAAGGTAAAAATGCCAAAAAACTTGCTCTTATCGAGTTTATTATTACAGTTTGGTCCCGATAACTCGATCCTGTGGTTGTTGTTTTGTGGCGGGCAGAGCATGATGCTGAACGACAGGATTCAGAACTTCAATTCTCTGCAATACGTGCTGCGGAAGGCAGAGGAGTACCTGACCACGCTACCTGTCGAGACGCCTTACTCCGAATTCGAGCACAAGTTCCAGGACATGGGGCTGGAGAGAGGGTGGGGTGACACCGCGGCTCGTGCGCTCGAGATGATCCAGCTGTTGCTGGACCTCCTGGAGGCGCCCGATCCTTGCACGCTCGAGACATTCCTCAGCAGGATACCGATGGTGTTCAATGTCGTCATCATGTCTCCCCATGGTTACTTCGCGCAGGACAATGTGCTTGGTTACCCTGACACCGGCGGCCAGGTTGTGTACATATTGGATCAAGTTCGCGCTTTGGAAGAGGAAATGCTGATGCGGATCAAGCAGCAAGGCCTTGACATCACCCCTCGGATTCTCATTGTATGTTTCTTCGTTTTTTTCGGTCTTCGAATCTCTGGCTTTTTTAGTGCTTTCTGGGAATTGGATTGATGGTGTGTGTGTGTGTGGGGTTATGTGCAGATCACTCGTCTCCTTCCTGATGCGGTTGGAACCACTTGCGGGCAGCGGATGGAGAGAGTGTATGGAACCCAGTACTCCGATATTCTTCGAATTCCATTCAAGACTGAGAAGGGAATCGTTCGCAAATGGATCTCTCGATTTGAAGTGTGGCCTTACTTGGAGAAGTTCACTGAGGTTGGTTTGATCATCTACCTTTTTATAACATGGGAAAAAAGGTTACTGAACTCTTGATATGAATGCAGGATGTTGCTATTGAAATTGGCAAGGAGTTCCAAGGGAAACCCGATCTCATCATCGGAAACTACAGCGATGGTAACATCGTTGCCACATTGCTATCCCATAAGCTGGGCGTCACTGAGGTTTTCTTCCTTCTTTTTTTCCTTAAACATGGATGGCGTGGATCAGAGGATGAGTTGTGTTTTGGCTGATCGTTGGATTGCCTTTGTTGCAGTGTACAATTGCTCATGCTCTGGAGAAAACCAAGTACCCAGAGTCAGATATCTACTGGAAGAAGATGGACGAGAAGTACCACTTCTCGTGCCAGTTCACCGCGGATCTTATCGCCATGAACCATGCCGATTTCATCATCACCAGCACATACCAGGAGATTGCTGGAAGGTGGGTGGATCGTTTGATTGCCTTTTCTTCAATTTTCATTTCGATTATGGAGGGAAACTCTGTCAATCGTGTATATAACATTTTTTTCTTCTTGTTTTTGTGATTGATGTGTTCGATTGAACAGCAAGGACACCGTGGGACAGTACGAAAGCCACACCTCGTTCACCCTACCGGGGCTCTACCGTGTTGTTCACGGCATCAACGTCTTCGACCCCAAATTCAACATAGTCTCCCCTGGAGCCGACACGAGCATCTACTTCTCCTATACCGAGGAGAAGCGCAGGCTCGAGCATTTCCACCCCGAGATCCAGGAACTCCTCTTCAGCGACGTCGAGAACAAAGAACACTTGTGAGTTTCGCTTTTCGTTTCGTTCCCCCTGGATTACTTGACCCGCAAGGCTCGTTGTTACTCATCGCCTCTAAACGAATCTTTTTTTTTTTTGTTGCACATACAGGGGTGTGCTCAAGGACAAGAACAAGCCGATCATATTCACAATGGCCAGGCTGGACAGGGTCAAGAACCTGACCGGCCTGGTGGAGTGGTACGGCAAGAACAGCAGGCTCCGCGAGCTGGTGAACCTCGTGATCGTGGGCGGAGACAGGAGGAAGGAGTCGGAGGATCTCGAAGAGCAGGCCGAGATGAAGAAGATGTACGGCTTGATCGAAGAGCACAAGCTGCAGGGCCAGTTCAGGTGGATTTCTTCCCAGATGGACAGGGTCAGGAACGGCGAGCTGTATCGTTGTATCGCGGACACGAGAGGCGCTTTCGTGCAGCCCGCGCTGTACGAGGCGTTCGGCCTCACCGTTGTGGAAGCCATGACCTGTGGGCTGCCTACATTCGCCACAAACAACGGTGGGCCGGCTGAGATCATCGTCCATGGCAAGTCCGGGTTCCACATTGATCCGTACCACGGGGATCAGGCTGCTGAGCTGCTGGTTAACTTCTTCGAGAAGTGCAGGACCGATTCGAACCACTGGGACGAGATCTCGCTGGGCGGCCTCCAGCGAATTCAAGAGAAGTAAGTTCGGTCGTGTGGTTTAATTTTTTTGGTCTTTCATTACAAGTCTCGACATTGCGAATTAATTGGTACTTAATATAATGGTTTCAATGTAATAGGTATACTTGGCAGATATACTCGCAGAGGCTGCTGACACTCACTGCAGTGTACGGGTTCTGGAAGCACGTTTCGAACTTGGATCGACAGGAGAGTCGACGATATATCGAGATGTTCTACGCTCTGAAGTACCGTAAACTGGCTGAAGCTGTGCCTCTGACGGAGGAGTAAGGTGGGAACAAGAACAATGGTGTTGTCACAGTGGTTGAACAAAAGCTCTTTGTAGTCTGTCGCTGTTTTCCGGCATTTCTTGTTTTGGTTTGGTATTGTCATCTGTTTCTTCCTTATTCCCATTTCGCGGCAATGAGAAAGTTGCATTGAAGTTGAGTTTTTTTTTCTATTGTGCTTACAATTATGGCTTTTCTGGTAGTATTGTTATGTTTGGTTGGGTTTGGCCATTTTCTTTATGAGTGGGAGATGGGGTCCAAAAATTTGTGGCGATGGAGAAAAGCATTAGAGACAGAGTGAAGAACTTTCACGAGAAATCAATTAGTTTAATTCAAGTATGTTTAAGTGGTCTACTAATCTGCCACACCAAGAGATTTGCAATCTACTAAGGACGGATGAGGATGAGTTTGTTGGTTGTTGGCGACTAGCTGTCTTTCATTTTTTCGGGGTTGGTGGATGAGAAATACAGTAAAACACTAACACAGACTAATTCCAATTAAACTATACTAGTTTTTTTTCCCCCGCTGCTTCTCGGCGATTATAAACTAACTATTTATTTTTGACAATAAAATTTCATGCATTTATTTGATTGTTTAGTTAAAATAAAATTATTCACAAAATATTTCAAGTAAATCACTTTCATAATTTTTAAGTAGTGTCTTAATTATTACCCAAGGTTCAGATAACACGTTTGTTTGATTGATACATACGGGAATAACTATCTCTTCAACCTTCATAAGTTTTGCATATATAGTGTATTCGAAGAACTGTTATAGAACGGCGTTAACGTAATCTTCTATAATGTGTGGTCCAATAATAAAATCAAGTTACAGATCTCACATTTGATTAAAATATTATATAATATCAACTATTTTACCAAAGTTTTAATTCATGCAATGCAAATTGAGGAGATTTTGGAATATAACAGGCAATAATAAAGAACTTTAGTTAATATTCTGTGGAAAAAAATTGTAAAATGTATGACATTTGATTAACTTGTTATGTAAAAATAATGGACCTTAAAAAACTTTTTGTAAAGCAATTGATGAGATTCAAAAAAAAAAAAAAATTAGTAACTAATTTAGGAATTTTCATACGTGAAAGACTTATGTGATATGTTTGGTCAATTGATACATAAGAAATTATTTTCTCCAAAAGTTTGTGTATTGTCTTATTCATTTAGACTTATATTGTACTAGCAAAGACCCGCTCGCTATCGCTTCGCGTATGAGCATGAATTTATAATGTTAAGTAAAAAACAATACATAAGTATTATAAATGGCGAATATAGAACTATAATGGTTCGATGTAAAATTACTGACAATAGAGGTCAAAAAACCCTCTAAAATTCAGTTTGCTACTTGTGTAAAACACAATTTGAAAGAGTATATATATATGTTATATAATCTTTAAATAGAGTCATTATATGCTATCGCCCTATGGGTAGAAGCGAATTGGGAATGACAAGTTGGGTCGGTTGCCAAAGTTGGCTTCCTTGTAAAAATTGGCAGCATGGTGTGCCAAACAACAACAACAACGTCGAAGATGTCAGCTCTGAGTTCGTTGTGGGGTACGTTCTTGTGTTGCTTGTCAATCGCGAGACATTTCTCTTCAATTTGGTGGACTCTGCTTGTCTATTCGTTTTCTTTGAATCGCCAGAGTGCTGCGAAGGAAGAACAGATGAAAAGTACAGAGAAAATATATTTGATCGCGAAGTTAGAGTGATCTCTTTGTTATGTTGTTTGGTGTGCGGCAAAAGTAGAAGGACCATTAAGGCATTTATAATACTCGCTAATCCATTTTATTGTCAAGCTGTCTCCAACATCATGACGCCATGTGTAGCCGTGTGGGTGTGGTGGATGACGGGCCTGTAATAACTTCAATACATGCACACAATAAGGACATCTGCAAATGAGCCGAGTCGAGTTTTACTCCGGCTTGAGCTCGGCTCGTGAATAAACGAGTCGAACTCGAGCTCGAGCTCAGTTCGTTTATTAACGAGCCGAGTCGGGTCGAGTTCGAGCTAGCTTGTTTACTAAAATCTTGACTTTTTATGTGGTACTTCATTTTGTATATCATGATACATATGATTTATTTTGTTAGATAATCTCATATTATACTTTGTTGGTATCATATATCATTTAGTTAATAAATTTTAAGTACTCCAAATCATGTCATTTCATAGTATGGAAGCAATCTATGATACATAATTCTTTCTAAAATATAAAATAAGATATATTTGCTCACATACTTAACGTGTTAAACTTTATATATGGTAAGATATATAATTTAACAACCATATGAACTAAAATCATAAGATATAGATTGATTCGTCCATAAGTTGGTAATCGAGTTGGCTCTCTAGCCACATGTTGAGACATATCATGAGCTCTAAACGAGCCAGCTCACGAGTTTAGCTCAACAAGCTACCGAATCGAGCTAGCTCGCGAGCTGAACAAATCTTAGCTCATGTTTGGCTCATTTATTAACGATCCGAGTTTCGAGCGAGCTTTTCTCGAGTCGAACGTCGAGCCGCTCGCGAACAACTCGTCTCATTTGCAACCCTAATCAACACACATTAACCCACCGTTCGTCGATTGGAAAAAAAATTGTCTTTGACTTGAAGCGCTGACGTGTCCAGCTGGTTGTGGCAAACACGGGTAGGGAACACATCCGTGTTACTGGCCATGTTACCCCTGTTGTCTCCAATTATTGCCATTCTTGCCTCTATCCGTCCGGAAACTCGTACTCGACCTTCCCACACGTACTAGGACTTGAAATGTAACAAAAGAAGCACAAACTAGCGTAAAATAGGTTGAGGAACGACGATTTCAAAGTCAAACAATCAAGATATAAGGTGGTAAAAGATGTGTAATTGTGCCCGAATTAGCGTTCCTTTTCAGTGTTCCGGATTGCCATTTGCAACCAATCGCGTCGCAAGGAAACAATAAACACATACAACTTGAGATTTTCTAGAAAGCAGGGGTTGTAGTCCTTGGTCGGAGATTGTCAAACTTAAGGAGATTTTCTGGAAATTCTCCTTTGTCGAAGGTGGGGCTGCTTGGAATTATTTCTGGTACGATAAATGGATCGATGACGTGGTGCTCGCTGATGCCTTTCCCAGAGTAGCTGCTGCTGCCGCGTTGCCTCTTAGTTGAGTCACAGACAACTTGAGAACTGAGGATGAGAGTTTTTCTAGGAAATTAACTTAAAATTTCAGCTTAGAAGGGGAGGCTATTCCCTCTTTGTTTTCAGGTCCCTCTAGATTGGTTTGGAAGCCGAGGCCAACTATTGGGTTCTCGGTGAAGTCCCTGTATGATGAGCTCATTATGGAAAAGTTTCTTGAAGCGGCTGGCTTTCCCCACAAGATGATTTGGCAAAAAGTGATACCCTTAAAAGTTTGCATCTTCTTGTGGATCGCTTTTCACAGGAAAATCCTCACTCATGACGCATTGAAAAGAAGAGGTTGGGCACTGGCGAGTAGATGTGAACTTTGTCGGGCTGCCGAAGAAGATTTAGATCATCTTTTCCTTCACTGCAGATTTGTCAAGCTAGTCTGGGAAACTATCAGAAAATTTGTGAGGATTGGAAGTGCTCTTGGAGAAAGTCTCCCTAATGTTATTGCAGGTTGGATTGTGAGAACACCATTGAATCCATCTGATTGGTGCACAACAGTTGTTCTTCATGCCCTTTGTTTGACAGTTTGGAGAGAAAGAAATGATAGGATCTTTGAAGGAGTTGAGACAACACCGCAGATTGTTTGCTACAGAATTGGCTGTATGATCACAGGCTGGCTAATTAGTGCAAAGAAGGTCGATCGTGCTATTGCGGGGGAATGGTTCATGTGTTTAAAGCTACAACTCATAACCGATAGGGGAAATGTTTGAAGATCTCGTGTTTTGGTGAGGAATGGTTTTGGCGTTTAAAGCTGCCGCTTGGCTGCTGCTTGCACCTGTTAGGAGAAAGCTTTGAAGGCCGGGTTGGTGTTGCTGTTTGCTAAGCTGAGTTGTCTTGTTGGTACTTGAAAAGGAAATGGAGTGGCCCTTTGCTCTTTTGGGCTTAGCAGATAGTTTGAGTGTTTTGGATTGAATAGCTTCCTCGGTTTGTCCCTTTTCTGCAGGTCCTCTGCAGAATTTCAGTTTCTAACTTTCTATATCTTTTCTTTTGCATTTTCCTTTCTGTACTCGTTCATTTTCAGTCTTGTTAATTAATTGGATGTCAACCTTATAAAAAAAAGAACAATAAACACGAAGTGCGTCCCCCAAACGCTATCTGATGCTCGTTCGCGTTCCATGTCGCCTAAATCGCTCTTCTCGCCTACAATGTTGCACTTACCCCAAACGCTATCTGATGCTCGATCGCGTTCCATGTCGCCTAAATCGCTCTTCTCGCCTACAATGTTGCACTTCCCCCAAACGCTATCTGATGCTCGATCGCGTTCCATGTCGCCTAAATCGCTCTTCTCGCCTACAATGTTTGTATAGATCGCTTTAGTTAAAAGCGATTTGAGAAAACATATGTGTAGAATGAGAAATCTTATAAAACTTATTGGATTTTCAGATTTTTTTAGAAAATTTGTGTATTTAGAGAAAAAAATCCGGTAAAATTGATTTGAGTTTTAATTTTCATGGGCGCACCGTGCGACACATATGAACCTACTTGGAAAGAATAATAATCGGAGTAGCTTGGTGACGGCGACGTGATCGCCGACATCCCAACGTCTTCGAGCTAACAGCGGAACTGAAACGCCTTCCCTCCCTCCTTCCCTCGGACGAAGAAAGTTTCTTTTAGACCAATTTTCCTTCTCTTGCTTGCAATTTGGGTTTCAGATCTCATAATCTCACCTAGAAGTAGGATTGACCTTTCGGAGAGCGATATATGTGTCAGATTTTAAATAATCAACCAAACGTTGCTTCAGCCTTCCCTGCAAATGCACTCCACCATTCGCATTTCCTCTTCAACAACCAAGATTCCACCCGATACTGATTTCATACATCTCACCCAAATCCTCACTCCCACCTCAAACCAAATGCGAGACCCCAGTGCATCCATTTCCAAATCCCCAACATCCTCGCCCATCCATCTCTGATTCAGCTCTCTAAATCGGGAGAAACCCAAAAATCTAATCTTTCAAGAGTAGCCTGCAAAAGTTTGCAGCTTTGTGTAGCTCTCTGTCCACTGGATTTGAACCACCATGGTGGAGACCTCGCAGCCGCTGGGGCGGTTCCAGTACCAGAGGCTCGAGTTGAAGCGCTGCGTCCCAACATTTCTTTCTTCCCACAAAACCCTCTTCACCGTCTTGTGGATAGCCGCCTTTGGCTCCGTCTTCCTCTGGCAGCGGAATGCCGTCGGCGGCGGAGGGTTCAATATCTTCTGGCGGGCGCCCGTCCGGCCGATGCCCAAACTCCGGCCGTTTGCTTTTAATCTGACCGATTTTGGTGGGGTGGGCGATGGAGTCACTGTGAATACCGCTGCCTTCGAGAGGGCTGTTTCGGCGATCTCAAAGCTTGGGAAGAGAGGCGGTGGGCAGCTGAATGTGCCTCCAGGAAATTGGCTCACTGGGCCCTTCAATCTCACTAGTCACATGACTTTATTCCTTGCCGAGGATGCTGTTGTACTTGGAATTCAGGTCACTTTCTTTCCTTTCTCTCTTGCTTCACCTCTGCTTTTTACTTGAGTTTATCTGTATCGGTTTAACACGAACCTGCAACTAGCTTGCTTAGAACTGGACCTTTGAGATCCAAAATTGGCCGGATGCCTATGAACTTTACACACAAGGCTGCTACTCAGATATCGAGCACTTGCTTATCATTATGCATTTTGATAGAGAACTCAATCATGGAGAGAGGAGAGTGCATTGATGGTGTTCAAACTGTTGAGTTTTGTGATTAGAATTGGCATACATTTAGTGTTTTACTCACTTTGATATCATCATGAAAATTTCCCATCTCTATCTGACTATAAACTACACGGATCCATGTAAATTGAAGCTTTTTGTTTATTGAGCAATAGGATGAGAAGTATTGGCCGCTTATGCCTCCATTGCCTTCCTATGGGTATGGGAGAGAGCATCCTGGTCCTCGATATGGGAGCTTAATTCATGGTCAAAATCTCAAAGATGTTGTCATCACTGGTCAGTCAATTCATCTTATGCAATTCCACTGCCCATTGAATTCAGTTGCATGCTCTTTCAAATGTTATCTTTGACTCCTTTAAGCTGGAAGTTTATGTTGTGAGATTGTGCTTTGGACTTTAAGAACTGCTCTTGGACAGGCCACTAACATTATATGCCAACCATTTAATTTTTTTTGATTCTGGTGATAGAAAAGTAGGTAAACTTAACGAACCTAGAGTGCCTAGAAACTATAATCAGGTGTAGCCCGAAACCGTACCCTGGGGAAGAAATGTTGTCAACAGATCAAGTGTACATCAGTTATACTAGCCTATAAGGTTCATGTGAATGGATTTTTATGCCATCATTTGTAAAGCTGTACAAGGACTCCACACATGGTCTGGTGAGTCAGATGACTCGGATTTCCTGAAACTAATTGGATCGGACTCTCTTGCCTGGTCCAAGGTTCACTGACATCTTTCTGTATCATCATCGTCCATACTATGCTTTTATTTGTTTGTATTGGAAAACTTTTAATTCACGTTTATGAATTTGATCAAGGGATGTCTTTTATTTTAATGTTGAGTTATTTGTCAATTCGGAAGCTCAAGATGGAAGGTACTGATGAATAAGGGGAAATACTTGGATTTGAACCCTTCCCGTGATTTCTACTTGAGCATATTCTTAAAGCTTTATTATTATAGTTCCAGAGCTGTCATTCTCCAACCTGTATAACAGAAGTCTTGGATTTGTCTCTTATTCACACCACAGATTAGTAAACTTGCAAATAATTAGCCTTCCATGTCACTGTTTATTCAATGATGCTGCCTAAATTTGCTTAAAAAAAAAAACTCAGAAGGGTCTTCCGTTGTTGGCATCTAAAAAACTGTAATGTGATTTTTACTGAAAGTTAAGGTGGTCAAAGAGATCATGAGGCATACTTTTCTGTGGACATGATTGCTAGGAATCTTGAATGCGAGTATTATTTATCAAACTGTTAAGTGTGAAGTCAGAGTGATCTGATATTATGTTGATTGATCAACAGGACACAATGGTACCATAAATGGCCAGGGTCAAACATGGTGGAAGAAGTACCGCCAGAAGCTCCTCAACCACACTAGGGGTCCTCTTGTTCAGATAATGTATTCAAGCGATATAGTGATCACTAACATAACCTTGCGTGATTCGCCATTTTGGACTCTCCATCCATATGACTGCAAGAATGTAACAATAAGGAATGTTACGATTTTGGCTCCCATATTCGAGGCTCCAAACACTGATGGAATTGATCCTGGTAAGCATTCATGGCTGTTCTTTTATGTCAATTCGATGACGGCCAAACAGTTCTATGTTTGACCTGTAAAAGTTAGATGTTTGCCATGTTGAACTAGTATTTCTTTAAGTTCTAGATGTGTCCCTGGCATATGGTCTGGCTGTGTTTCTGCTGGCAATATTATGTGTCCGAGCTCCTTTCTTTCATTTCGTAAACAGATTCATGTGAGGACATGATCATTGAAGACTGTTACATAAGTGTGGGGGATGATGCTATTGCAATAAAGAGTGGCTGGGATCAATATGGAATTGCATATGGGCGACCTGCAAAAAATATTCTCATCCGTAATCTAGTTGTTCGCTCTATGGTCAGGTGATTAACTGAATGTTCAATATCAAGTTATTATATTCACCCCAAACAGGTCCCGTGCATTTTTAAAATTGATTATCTTGCATTTTCCCTTTGCATGGTAGCTCTATAACCATTGTGTAGTTGATCCGTTATACTTGCACTATTACTAATGTTGGCTGTGTATCCTTGAATATTCTGCATTCTTTCTCGTGCTTGTATGTGTCTTTCCCTACTTATTGGTTTGTGCACGGGGCTGATGTTTAAAGATTTTATATCTGGCACATTAATTGTTAGATTTTTCGTCTTTTTCGATTCAGGGACACCGTGCGTCCTTGAACCGATAACCATCTTTCGGTTAACCTAACCTTCCAAAATTGTTCTCTAATGGTGCAATTTTGATCGATTTTCATCTCCTTTAAGTAAAAGCATTGCACATCCTACTATATTGAAGGTTATTCAGCAATTATAGGTTTAATTCCCGTCCATTGTTTCATTGATCTAGTTTAAACAAAAATTAAGAGCCTCCTTCAGCAGACAAACGAGTATGATAAATTATTTCAGGTGAATAAGTTTAGGTACAAACTATTCATAAATATAAAACTAAATATAGGTAAAAATTCAGAGCTGTAAAGAGATTCAAGTACTTTTCTGTGTGATGGTGTATGTAATTAGTTAACTGGGACAAGCATATTCTTAAACAGCTGCAGTGTCGACAACAATGTCAATAAGCTCTTGCATGTTATGGTATATTCTCATACCTCGCCAACTCTTGCATGTTATGGTATATCCTCATTCCTTGCCATATGCCACAGTGGAGTATAGGAACTGAAGTGAACAAACTCAAGAATGTGTAGTTCCCAATAGAACAGTTTACTTGCGTGCTGAAATTGCAGTTACTCGATTGGCATCTAGGCATCATTGTTGTTTTCAGATTTTCTCCATTGCCTATATTCATGTATTGCCTTCTAGATGATAATTGAGACTTACTCTGTACTCTGTTAACAGTGCTGGAATATCTATTGGAAGCGAGATGTCCGGTGGGGTATCGAATGTCACCGTGGAGAATGTCATTGTATGGAATTCGAGGCGTGCAGTTCGTATAAAGACTGCCCCCGGAAGAGGAGGTTATGTTCAGCAAATAACGTACCGCAACCTAACATTTGACAATGTGAGAGTTGGGATTGTAATGAAAACCGACTACAACGAACACCCAGATGAAGGGTACGACCCAAAGGCTGTTCCCCTGATCAAAGACATAAGCTTCACCAGCATCCACGGCCAAGGAGTTCGTGTCCCTGTGCGAATTCATGGGAGCGAAGAAATTCCTATAAAGAATGTGACTTTTCAAGACATGTCAGTTGGACTAACGTACAAGAAGAAGCATATATTTCAGTGTGCCTTTGTGGAGGGGCGTGTAATAGGGACCATTTTCCCAGCACCCTGTGAGAACCTCGATAGGTACGATGAACAAGGGCAGCTTGTCAGGCGTTCCGCTTCACAGAACACCACAGACATCGACTATGATTTTTGAGTTAAGGATTCATTCCTGCGGTCGCCCGATTCCCTGTGAGCATGTACTCCAAATGTCAGTGCGTTCAGTTGGTATCCTAGCGATAATATCTGGATGGAAGAATTTAGAGCAGTGGTTTGCTGTTATGTTTTCTTGGCATATTCATTACTCCAAAGTCCGCAGCAAATTCTTTCGGTTTCTTGTACGTTCTTTAGAGCTGTATATACAGAAAGCTTCAGTTATAGGTTGAAAGGTCGAGTGGAATGAAATCAGAGATAAAGCCTATTGTTTTGGCTTGCGAGTGTTTCATTTTGTGTTGTGAAGTGCATTAGCCAAGTTCTTACTCGTATTTAGTTCTGGTTTTTTAACCTGGATTTGTTCAAGGCATGTTGGAATTTGTCGTGCTCTTCTCTTCTGCATCCACTAGAGCCTTCGTTTTTCATTTACACCACACCAACCTACTGAGACTCGATTTCACATTTTTATTCTTCCTCCAGTGTGAGTTCTCTGCTGAGGTGTTTGCAGGCTGTATGCAGTTGATCAAGCAGAACTGCTGTGTTTTTCTAAATTTTGAAGGGTATCTAGACTGGACAAAAAGAAAGTTTGCAGGGAAAAAAACCATGTTCAAAGTTGGGAAGGATGATTTGGAACTTGACAGTTGGCATGCTATGGAGGGAACATTGTGAAAGGATGCATGGAGTATGTGGTACAGATCCAAGGGGAGTAGTGGATCGTAGCAGAATCACAAAATTGGCCAAACTAGGGAATGCTACTATTCAGCATGGTACATGAAACGGTACCGGATATCGTACCGGAAAAGTAAGTGGTATGATATTTTTATATTTTATGATAAAATTGTGGTTTGGTCGTAGTTCAACCGTTAGTACCATTAAATACCGTCTATCGGTTTAGCCTCCGATATTACCGGATACGATTTTGTAAATCATGCTATTCAGGTGAGTTGGAGTAGTTTGTAGGAAGGTAAGTTGTGTGTAATACTGTTTGATTGTTCGATAGGAGATGGTTTTCTTGTAAGTGAAGTCTTGACCAAGTATAGTGAGCAACTGAGCATGCCTGCCTAGTATTTGTGCAATTGTAAGAGTGTTTGTTAATCCCTCTATAATTAGCTTAACATTTTTTTTGACTGCCCATGAAAAAATTAGGGGGAAATTTTTGTTTGAAAATTACCGTAATACCATTAGTTTTGAATCTCGAGGTTCCAGGTTCGATTCCCTTAATTAGTAACTAAATCATAAAAGTGAACCGATATTACTCTTATAATTTTTTTTAATTTCTCCTTTTAGCCTCATTATCAATGAATTAAAAGGAATTAAAATAAAGGGGCCGTTTGAATCAATAATTCTAACGAAAAAATTGACACAATTGTCTTTTTTTGAGATAATTAGGCCAAAATAATTCGTTTGACAGAATAAGATTTAGATGAAATAATTTGATTTAGGCGTCCTTTGGATGGATCAATTAAAAAGCGAGATAATTTGGTTAATTGTCTCATTTTTATAACACAGAATAAGATTTAGATGAAATAATTTGATTTAGGCGTCCTTTGGATGGATCAATTAAAAAGCGAGATAATTTGGTTAATTGTCTCATTTTTATAAAACGAGCGAGTCTATTCGAATTACATGTCCCCCACCCTAGACAATTAAAATTCACTCTCAAAATGGGTCAATTCGAAACTCGCCGAACAAGACAATTTGGTTCAATTGTCTCAAAAGGATCAAATTGTTCCGTTACAATTTCTCATCCAAACAACCCTTTAATAGTATTTCGGATTGACTCGATTTTAAGATAATTACAATTGACTGAAATGAAGGTAAATAATTCAAATTGAGACATTTTAAATGATTTTTTTGTAAAATAAAAAAAACTTAGCAAATTATCTCTGTTTTTTTAATTCATCTGTCCAAATTCCAAACAAACAATGGTTCATGAAACCGTACCGGAAAAATCAGCGATAAGATATTTTATGGTAAAATCGTGATTTAACCGTAGTTCAACTGTTAGTATCGTTAAATACCGTCTATCAGTTTAGCCTCCAATATTGATATTTTGTGGTTGAACCGTCGGTACGGTACGGTTTCGTGGACGATGAAAAAACCATACACATCATATAGTGGTCTCACTACTAATTGTCCGGTAGATGGCACGCCACCTGGAAGGTCACTGCATCACCACGTTACTTCTGGGGAATTGATCTAGATTCTAGACTTGTTCATTCATTCATTCGTTCTATTTTTTTTTTTTTGGCGGAAATCGTTCTTCAACCTAAAACAAAATCGACAGGAATTAACCTCCTCCGACCTCCGGCAGTTCTCTTACCTCACTGCCTCCTCCTCGGAAAAAAATGTACAGAACCATGGCCAAGCAGCTGTTTCGTGGCGCAAGAAGCCGCGTCTCCGGCACCGATGTCCGTCTCAGGTTCCCAAACCCTCACAGTGTAATTTCTCGTCGCACCTTTTCCCCTTCTCCTACGCCTCATAACTCCGGTGAAAATCCAATCCCTCGCGTGTATGTCGATCTACCCAACTCCTCGGAGTCGACCGCGTCTCCCTCATCATCATCTTCTGCCGGATCATCTTCCACATCATCATCAGCCGAGGAAGGTCGGCGCCATACGAGGGATCGACCCCGAGGGGAGTACCAAGACGAGCAAGCTCGAGTGCTTCAGTCCGCTCTTCGTCACGTGGTTGGTACCCCTGAGAATTCCCTTTTAATCAATTTCTTTTTTTTTTGTGAAGTTTTGCTTTCGAAATTTCCCTAGGGTTTCTCCGAGCAGTCGAGAAACTGAACGTTAGAAGCATGATTAAGGGTGCAAAGAACCGTTTGTCAAATTGCGTTTGCGCTTGATTGTGTGTGGTAACTTGAATGCTGAATGGAAAAAAGTACGAATGGGGAATTGCAGTTAACGCTTGGATGGACTGAAGATGCAATGATGGCTGGAGCAAGGGATGTTGGGGTGTCTCCTTCAATTGTCGGGTCTTTCCCTCGAAAAGATGCAGCCTTAGTTGAGGTAAACGATTTACTAGGGTGAGCATTGTTTGTGTTTGCATTAGCCTCAAACTACCCACCTGTAATGAGTTTTACTTGTGTTTCGTGAATTTCGTTCGTTTTTCAGTATTTCATGGATGATTGCTTGGAGAAGCTTATCGATAGAATTGACTCTGGACTGGAGTTAAGCAACTTGTCACCCAGTGGGCGTATCTCCAAGCTTATCAGGATTCGTCTGGAACTGCAAGCTCCCTACATATCAAAATGGCCTCAGGCCCTCAGCATTCAGGTGTCCATTCAGTTTGTCCTTTGTTAACTGACGGTTACCAATGGGGGTCTGGATTGTTCTTTTAATCGATACGCTGCATATTACGTCCTTTATAGGCACACCCATTGAATTTCCCTACAAGTTTTAAGCAACGAGCAGCACTTATTGATGAGATCTGGCATGCCTCTGGCGATGATGGTCATGACATAGATTGGTATGTGAAGCGCACAGTCCTTGGAGGGATATACTCAACAACAGAGATCTATATGCTAACTGATAGCTCACCAGGTTAGATTGGGTCTCAACATGTTAGTTCTGGTTCAATTCTTTCCGCTCATTCTGCAGTTGCTATTCTTGATGTAATTGCGGGGACTAACTCTGTAACAGTGGATGTAGGGAGTAGTCCTAGTTTTGCAAACATTAGTCTATCTTGAATGATAACCGAAATGGTTTTTTGTTTATGAACCTTGGTCGAGTTAGCAGTTCCCCTAATGTAAGATGACATACGGATGGAAGGAACATTTACATAATGCTGTTGAGTTTTGGGATAATTTTCTTTTTGTTCATTCTATGTATGATCATCGGTTTTGGGTCTGGGATGTTCTATCTTTTTCTTTCCCCTTCTCCCTAATGAATCGGGACGTCTGATAAAATCTTGATGGGCTGTCCTCATTCCTACAGAATTTCGCGATACATGGGCATTCTTGGACGATCGAGTGAGAGATGCCTTCGATCTGAAAAAGACCATTCAAGAGGTACTTTCCTTGTTGGGTGTTCAACACCGTATTTCTTTTGTTACTGAATCCAGGTTGGTAACCTAGTTAGATGCTCTAACATTGAGCTGTGTTCATGGCAGGCAACATATTTGGCAGAAGCTGTTGGTGCTGGAATGGGGAACTCGTTTCAAGGATTTGTCAAGAAAGTTCTTCAACGGTGAAGCCTATGGGGGACATTTGAGTTGATCACTCGATCTTCCCTCTGTTTTGACATCTCCAGCATTATGACTGATGAAATGCCACATGTAGTGTGGATTGCCCCCTTGAGTACATGACTTGCTATTGTCTTCCTTCTCTATTTCTTCATTAATTTCTGGTACAAGGTTATGTCATCGAGTACAGTTGAATGATAAAATACACATCACACAAAGAATAAGTAATGTCTGTCGTGAGTTGTGTAAGAACGTAAAGGCTCACAGCCAGTTCAGTTTCGGCTGCAAATTAGGACTCTGTTCCATTAGGGCTCAAGATTCAAGATGTAAGCACTACTACTAAACCCAGAGGGTTTTGAGATATTTCAGTGTATTTTCACTAATTGCTGATGGGTACTTCAAGTTCAACGGGCTGGGTGGATAGTGTATATCTATTATTCTATCTATTATTGGGTCGATAGTGTATATCTATTATTCTATCTAAAGTAGTTTGGATTTTTTTCATATCTATAGCCACATAAGGATTGAGTTGAAAATTAAAATCATGCCCATGCTCGTTCGGGTTTCGGGTATCTATTGTTATCCATGGGTAATAATCTATCTTTATAACTCTAGTCAGGTTTCGGGTATTTATTGTTATCCATGGGTAATAATCTATCTTTATAACTCTAGTCAATTTTTTAATATTCACGGGTATACTCACATTACATAAGAGGAAAAGTACGAAAATGAATCATTAGAATGAAGAAAATTAATTAAAACAACACAAGTTCATGAAAACATTAGATTTGTACGCTAATATAAATATCCTTCGAGTTCGGGGTTTATCCTGATTAGATCGAATTCGAGCGGATATCCACGGTTACAAATATTTTTGTCATCTCTTTAGTATTGATAGTTGCATCTTGTATTAGGTAGACACATAGGTAAAAGCAGAAATTACCGGAACTTTATCAAGGATCAAACCATTTAATGAAAAATGCATCAACTAGATATAGACTTTGAGTTCAACAAATCAGAACATCTTAGAATCATCAATTCAACAAATCATAACTTTAGGGGTCGTTTGGAAGTTGCGATTGTTAAATAGATGTATTGTTGAGAATGCATGTATAATATTATACATGTATTGTCGAATTTGATGCATTGTAGAATACAACGTTTGGTATGTGTGATTGTGTATGTCGCATTAGCTAAAAGCTGAGACAAAACAATCTCAACTCAACTATCTCAACAATCACAACTAAAAGTTGAGATATAACAATCACTCAAAATGAGTGATAGTTTATGTCACATCATAGAAACAATCCATGTATTGTTTCTGCTAAAAAAAATAAAAAAATGATGCACTGTAAACAATACATGCATAATGACAATCTCAGCAAAACAATCGCAATTTCCAAACGACCCCTAAGTTCCTCATACTCAAGTGAGGAGGGAGTTTACTCCATAGAAAGAAAAAAATAAAGAGAAAAGGAAGAAGGACATCATTAATGCTAGATACCATCATATGACTTTCTATCTCATCTTTTAAGCTTGTTAATCGAACTCCAAGGGTGAAGAAATCCTTCAAAATTTCTTCAAGAACTCTCCACAGTCGCACTCTCTCTCCAGGGTTTATCTCTCTTATAAAAAAAAATCACAAACATCTTTTTATACCCGACAATGGCAAAGTCACGACCAGACATTAGTGCTGTGATTTTAGAGATCCCGCCAATGTTTATGCAAAATGCAACATCTCAATCACCCACCTCGGGAAAGTCACAGTCGTGACTACTAGGGAAGTCACGATCGTGATTTTTTGTTGTCCTACTTATGACTTTCATGCGGAGCTTCTGTCTATTTTGCACGGTCGTAGTTGGAAGTTTATAAGAGTCGGACTTGATTTTCAATTTGATTTACATGGTGTGAGACGAAGGGAATATGACTCGCTACGACACAACGCCAAAATTTGACCAAAGCAATTTAAAGGTTCTGGTTTTTCAAGTCGAAAAGGAACCACTCAGGTAATGATTCCCCCTAGTCTCCAGTTAAGTCGAGTTGTAATTCACCTAGTCCAATTCAATTCAGATTTATACTGCGGAAGATCCAGACCTAGCTTGAAATCTCTTAAGCTGACCAAACCCTCTTAGCCACATTACCTGGCAGACGACTAACCTTCACCGAGATAAACCGCTAAGACAATGAAAACAGATATCCTCTACTGGAATGAATCTCAGTACAGAGTAATGAATAGATTTACTCTCGCACAATCGATTCATTACTTCCAATTCAAGTTGCTCTATTGACCTATTCAGATTCTATCGTTCTAGGTCAAAGCTGGAAACATACAAGTGTGATCAAGACTTATAGATTTCTGAATAAAACACTCCAATTGGATATATAATCATCAATGTACTAAAAATGGTTCATACACCTGCTCCTAACATGCAAAACTTATGTCTATTAAAGACCCATTGATCACATAGTTGTGATTAGATAAGAAATACTAGAGAAAGGACTTAAGATGTTTTGATATAAGGAAAAAATGTATCAAGAATGAGAAGTGATAAACACTATAAATAAAGAGTCATCAATGATTTGACATGAAAAAGTAATGTTCATCGAATAATTTATGTGACTTGTTGTTGACTATGTCTGGAGGAAATAATCCTGGGGATCAAATATGAAGAAAATGATCCTAATGATATTGCATCAAATTATAATACAATAGACAAGTCCTGAATATATTTGTGATTCACCACAACTAAGGAACTTGTGATTGTGGACTATGTCTAGAGGAAATGATCATGACGATCATGTGTGAAAAAATTATCCTAACTATCATACATCAGATTGACAGTCTTATTTTACCAAACAAACAAAAAAAAAGATTGACAGTCTTGAAGATTGTTCATAGAGTCTTTCAATGACAACCTTTGTAAACCTTGTTGGTGAAATTGGAGATCAATGACTCAAAGAAGTGAACATACATTGTTATTAGAGAAACATATAAGCCTTGCACTCATTTTCCCTTAATCATGGTTTTCCCACTAATTTTCCTAATAAGATTTTTGATGAAGCAGTCAAAGATAGCGTAATGTGACGGTTGTACTCGTTTTCCTTTACTATGATTTCTTATCACATTAAGTATTTCATAATAAGGTTTTAACGAGATATCTTCAATAGTCATCTAAAGAGGGTGTTATGAATATTAGATGCAAACATTCTTGTACAATTAATAGCTACATGCAACCAATCCCCTACATTAGAATTTGTGTTCTAATTATTCATTATTATATACATCAATGATAGAATTGTCTAAAAATAAAGTACATATTATATAAACAAAATGCACATGAATAAAAAAGCTCTATTTCCCCTCGTCTGGTTGTATTTTTTCTCTTCCCACTTTGTTCGTTCATCTTCCCTGTGATTTTTATATACCAATGCAATACTTCTCACAAGAAGTTGAAGCCATTAGGAAAATGGGAACTTCGATGGTTTCTTTTATCAAGAAAGTATTAATTGCAGACTACAAATTTTATAACCAACAATGTGCAACATAATGTTTCCTCATGTCAACAGTACCGAAGACCATTCTTTTACCATAGTGATATGAAAACATTGAAAATCAATACTGAATCTACCCAGAGAGATCCAGGAAGGCAGATTAGCAGAGAACGATACAAATACAAGGGGGAGACAGGGGATGAAAAGGCAGCAAAGTAAAGTGTGTTTTGGGAACTTGAACCCAATATGGCATTGGCATTTGGCAGTTAGCTAAGCTGTCATTAAGCAGATTGTCCATGGAAATAGAATTTCTACTGCAAGCCCATTCTTCCATCTCTCACCATACAATATATATATATGTATATAAACATACACACACCATCTCGGATTAATGAAGCTCGTCCCTCCCTTGCTTCCCTTACTAAGCCTTTCCCCTTTTCTGTTCTGTGAATCCTTTAGCTGATTCACACCACACTGCCAGGCCATATCTACCTCCTCCAACATCGTTGCAAGTTCAAGCTTCACAAATGAAGGTACCCATCTTCCATTTTTTTGCTTATAACAACATAAACGAACTCTATGCTGTCAAAAAGGCATCAACAGTGTGCTTATTTGCGTCCATTGACCACAGATACTAGCATGGATGCAACACAAACTTACTGGGAGAAATGGCACAAAGCAACCGTGCCGAAATTCTGCAGCGCTCCAACGTACAAGCCCCCAACATAAGATTATCCTCTCTCTCAGATCTGAGTATGCGGTGATCGGTTAGTTGTACTGAATAGTATTTGATTCTGTGCTGTAGGTGATGCAGGGGAACCAGAAGAAACCGGCGACTGGCCTCATGGGTTGCTTGCAATCGGTACACTAGGAAGCAATGGCACAATGAAACAAGCTCCCCATCCAACTTCACCTTCCTGTGGTGCTGCTCATGTTGCTGCAGGAGCTCCACACTGCCTAGATACAGTATCGACAAGAGAGGCAGTCTCAAGTAATACCAACATCAGCAAAAGGTCCCTATCGTTTCTTGTGAAGAAGGTATTCGTTTGCAGGGATGGATTCAGCCTTCCTCCACCTTCTTCTCCTCGTGGTTTGGTGGATCCAGTCCAAACTGACTCTACAATGGAAAAGGTAAAGTACTAGAATGAATCTCCAGAAATCTCACATGTTCAGAAATATCTGTACTTCTGGAATACCAGGATTATCAATTACCCTTGTCTGATCTATATGGTGTAGATATTGAGGGCCATACTAAACAAGAAGATATATCCTCAAAACCAGCCACCGAATCCAGCTGCTGCTGCAGTGTCAAAGAAGATGTACTTGAAGAACAGACAAAAGAAGCCTTCACAGATTAAAGCAACTGAGATCGAACCGGAGGGTTGTGAAGATCATGAAACTTATCACAAGCTGCAGATCACAGATGATGATAATAGCAATAAGAATAATAATAATCATGAAAATCCAAGTAAATGGGACAAGACAGATTCAGAATGTGAGTAGTGATGACCTTTCATATGCATATCGAACTTCAAGTCTTCAAACATTAGGCTTGATAATCAATAAATATTTCATCTCAGCCCAGGAAGAATCTGAATGTTTTGCACTATCTGTTTCTTTCGTGATTCCATGCAGATATAGTCCTGGAGATATAAGTAACTAACAGCTTCTCGTGTGTGCCTCCTCCCAGCTAAGTGCTGATCAATTTTGGAGACAGGAGATGCAGATGCACTGCTAAGCAATGTCTTTCGTTTCCACTTTTTCATTTTCATTTTGGAATAGCACAGTAGCCAATTGCATAAGCAACGTGCAAGGGTGTTCCACTTTTTGCCACTGGTTCCATTGCCAGTGGTTTTTATGAGAATCAGAGAAACGCCGGCGACCATTTTGCTATTAATAAAAGTTGTAAACTTTGAAGAGAAGTTTCTAGGTACAGAGAATGGAATAAAACATCCATTTGTAAATACAGATACAGAAAGCTCCCAATCTTAGCATTACATTACCATGTTGGAAAACTTCACAAGGCTAGAAGCTATAGATATTCCCTCCGATTATTATCTTCAGCAAAGCTATATATGGAAGTGAACCCAGTTGGTCTCATTGTCAGAACTCTTTTCCCTTCTTTAGTTCTAGGAACTGAGGGAGATGCATCATTCGCTGCCATACGTGAGTAAAGAGATGAAAGACTCGTGCTGAGGGAATTTTGAAACAAGCTCAGATCGCTTTGCCATCTCGAAGTCCTGAAACTGAAAAGCGGGTGCACAAGTGCAACCTACCAAGGAGTAGTGACTCTCTTTGTCCCTTGGCTCATTCTTCACAACTGAACCATCGGGGGAGATAGTGTAGTCTTTTGTTGGAAATGCACCAAACCAGACGTTTGGAGGCACAGTATATTGCGGTTGTTGATCGCCAATAAGATCAGGTCCAATGCAGGTTAGTTTGATATTCCCATCTTCACTCAGTTCGAATACCTGGAAAAGAACCAAACGTTCATGAAAAGGCCATATACTAACACTAGACCATCACCCTAGATCGTCATAACAAAAAAAGGGGCCTTAGATGACCAACATTCAGAACGGTGTTCTATAAACCTGAATCTGCAAAGAAGGTGACTCAGAGCAAGAATGGGAACACATACAATACTTAACAAGATCATTAAGCAAACGAAATAAGGAAGCCTAGAACTAAAAGACACTGACAGTATATGATTATGCTTTGAGATTAAAAGCAAGTTCGATACTAGAGGTAATTGATCCCTTGATAAACATTTCACATGCGATATTTCACTACAAGCACATTGAACCCATCCACAAAGTTCAGTGCAGTCATTTCATAAATAAGTACTGTGTAGGGAATTGATTTTGATAATCGCAAAAAGCGCGCCTCTATTCTCCCACCATCAATCAAGGAAAAATTAGAACGAGGGTACATGAGAATTTCATTTCAAAGTTAAAACGGCAGCAATAAATTTCACTCATATGAACTAATCCTGATAGATGATTCAAGTCCGTACCGTCATAGGTTCTCCCAGATAAAAATGCCAGGTCTCTGCACATGGGATTCGATGAAGCGCAGACACACATCCAGAAGGAAGCAAGAAGTAAATAGAGGTGCTCACAGGACGATCAACCTTATCTGCAACGAGTATGGTACTTAGCTATATTGCCTAAAAATGACACAAACATCATATAGGAAGGCATTTCTCAACTTCCCTTTTCGCCACACAGTATCAGATTGAGATCTCATAAGCAATTTTATATGTGCGAAAGCTTAAAAACAGCGAGAACAACGATGCTGAATAGAAGATGGAGTAAGCAAAATCGGGGGCGCGCGCGAGAGGAATCTTACAGGTAGAGGGAAGGTGAGAGGTGGAGAGCGTGACGGAAGTGTCCCTAAAGGTTTCAGCGAAGAAACCACCTTCTGGGTGCGGCTGAAGATTCAATCTTTTCACTATCTCTGACGCAGAAGCCATCGCCTTTTCGGGGGGCAGAAGCAGAAAGATGAGAAGAGAGTAAGATGATGTACCAGTTGCCGGCTGAAGATTAATTTTATGTCTCCTTGCAAAACCCTAATACCCAGGCGGGGAGACCACGTGTCACTTGAAGAGGCTATAAACAGAACAGTCAGGAAGAAATAAAACGTGTCGAGTCCAAATTCGGGGGCCTGACCGACTCGTCCTCCGCCTATCCTCTTCGTGATGATTCTTCCCGAGCTCGGTTCATTTTGTCTGGGTTGGTGGAAAATTCCTGCGTTTGTTCATTCCCACTTCCACGTCGCTCCACAAAATCTAATCTCTGTTCATCGTTTTCTATTGGATTGAATTGTGGGTTTCTTTTTCTCTTAGACCAACTAAACAATGGAACCGGAATTGCTTCAAGTGATCGTCAATGGAGGAATCACATACCACCATCTGCACCGACCGGCGTTCATTCTCGGCGGAGGCTTTGCTCTGGTGGCGGTTTCGCTCTCCCTTCTTCTTATCTTCCAGCACCTCCGTTCCTACACCAATCCCTCGGTTTGTATTCCCACTTGTTTTTCTCGACCATCTCTTCCCAGCCCCCTTTTCTGATTTAGCATTTGGGTCTGCTTTGGGTTGGTTTGTTGTTTATGGTGCAGGAGCAGAAGTGGATTGTGGTTGTTCTCTTCATGGTGCCAGTCTATGCCACTGAGTCTGTAAGTGTGTTTTTTCTTCTTTGTTTTTCGTGGGTGGCTTTTCATGTTAAGATGGGAAGCAGGGAAGTTGATCAAATGCCTAAATCAGAGACTTTCAATGGGTTTTGGCCGGCAGTTGTTATCTTTGTGGAACCACAAACTATCGCTTGCTTGTGACATTCTAAGGAATTGCTATGAGGCTTTCGCCTTGTACTCTTTTGGGAGCTATTTAGTCGCTTGTCTAGGTAACTTTACGCTGTTTAGATTGCTTGATTGACCAGTTTTCAACAATGTTTTGTTGGGTTGGTTGACTGCTGATTTTTCCTTCATGGGGTTTGGCCAAATTGTTGTTGTAATGAAAGTTGCCCATTAAAGGAAAACTATGGTAGGTGGCGAAGGAAGAGTGTTGGAGATCCTTGAAACTGAATCCAGAAGACAATTAGTGAAACCATTGCTGGAAGGTGGCGAGGAGGAGAACAGTCCACAATTGCGGCGGAAATCTTCTATGGTTAACTTTCTCTTCCACCCTGATCTCATTGGGAGGGATTTGTTCAATATTGAAAGATTCGGCCTTGTCCAATATGTAATCCTCGTTTCAGTACCACTCTGCTATGCCGATTTCGTTTGTCCCCTTGTTGGAAAATCTCAATTATGGTATATCTTGGTTAGCCCAGATGATTCTGAAGACCCTTTCTGCGTTCTTGGCATTCTTGTTGGAGCTCTTTGGTGTGTATTGTGATGGGAGTTTCAAGTGGTACTGCGGGTATGCTATAGAATAACCTTTAGTTGCTCAGAATGAATTAATGAAAGACCATTTCAAAAGTGGCATTCGCCCTCTAGCTTTTCTGGATTCACTTCGCCTGATTTGATCTGAGTTGACAAATGCAGGTACCCGTACATTGCAGTTGTACTGAACTTCAGTCAGATGTGGGCACTGTATTGCCTTGTCCAGTTCTACAATGTTACGCATGAAAGGCTTAAACCAATAAAGCCACTGGCTAAGTTCATCAGCTTCAAAGCTATTGTGTTTGCTACATGGTGGCAAGGTTTCGGCATTTCCCTGCTCTGTGCCTTTGGAGCTCTACCAAACGACCCCAAATTCAGAACTGGTTTGCAAGATTTCCTCATCTGCATTGAAGTAAGTCGGCAACTGTCTAGTTTTCTTAGACTGCATCATGCGTGACTTTTAGATGTTCAAGGAGCCTTTTAGTTGTAGTTTGTACTTTCTTAGGATTCCAAGAATTTAAGATGAAGCAAAATGATTCGGTATATAATACGAACTTGTAATGAACAACATCATACCCATGTTGTTTCCCTCGGATAGATAAGATTCGTTTGTTTGTTCGGATTGTCAGATGGCCGTTGCAGCTATGGCACATTCATATGTATTTCCAGCAGAGGCGTACCATTACGTTCCCCATTCGAAAAATGGAAAGGCAATAATTGAGACGGCGAAAGAAGAGGTAAAGTTGAGTGGAAGTGGTAAAGAGGAGAAGAAAGAGGCATTTGTCGAGAAGACTGAAACTCGAGTTGAAGCTGCCGGGACAAGTGTTACAGAGAGTGTGCAAGACATTGTTGTTCAAGGCGGCCAACACGTAAGTCTGTTCGTGGGGTTAGTTCTTCTTCTTCTTCGCCGTGGGTGCTCAACCATTTTGTTAATAATTTTGGAGGTTGCTTGAAACTTTCTCATCAGGTGGTGAAAGATGTGGTGTTGACAATCAACCAAGCAATGGGACCGGTAGAGAAAGGCGTGACAAAGATCCATGAGAAGTTTCACCGACGATCAACAAGTTCAGGAGTAGAAACAGAGGAAGAATCAGAAATAGAAGTGGAAAAGCATTAGGAAGAGGAGGCAAAACGATAACCAAGGAGAGGAGCAAGTTAGGAGATCAGGATTCAGACCTCTCAAGAGGGTTCATTAGCTTTTGACTTGTGGATGCAACGTCTTTGAGTATCCTGCTCCTGGATATCGTTGGAAGTTTTGAATCCAAGGTTGGTTTATGGTAGAAGATCCAGTTTCTTTCTGGCAAAGCATTCATCAATTCGTCGTTGGCATCCCTCTGTTACGACTTTCTTTATTCTTTTTTGTAATAACTATAATAAGCCCAGTGAATGTATATCTTTTTTGGCTCCGTTAGTGAGAATGGGACATTGATGAAAACAACACACCATGCATACAACACGATTCCTAATTGGATGTAGAAAGGATGAGACAAGACAGTGATTTGGAAAGGAAGGTTGTTTCAAAGTATTGTCATTCATTCATATCGACAACCCTTCATCCTTCCTTCCTCGGGCTAGGGCCTAGTGGTGAACAAATAGCCCAGTTCGATCCAACCCATTCTTATTTATGCTAACATTAAGCTAGGTGATGGTCTTATTTTGGACAATCCGTCTCTTTTCGGTTGGGTGTGGATTTTGCGTTACGTAACTCGTAGAACCCGACCCAATTCGTGTTCTGAATACTGTCATCAGTATGTTTGTAAGAAAATTAAATTATTTTATCATATTTTTTCCTCGTGGTTTCTCTACCCTGATGCATTCTTCGACTTAAAATTTAGACGTGATTTAATATAGATTATGGTTCACGTAATATTTTTGTTATAATTTTAGAAGAATATGATACTATGCGGAGAAAACTAAACATATGTCGAAACAAATTTCTTTTTTTTTCACCTTAGTTCATTTATTGAAATTTTAATTAGTTATATTATATATATTTTTTGTAGGGTAAAATAGTTGGATTTTTTGTGTTGGGTTGAATTTTATTTAAAAGATCGTCAACCCAACCCAACCCAATTATATTTTTTTTCGAGTTCTTTAAAGAAAATGGGCGAATAGTTTTCATTTCCCATCTCATGGAAAACCACAAATTGTAGGAATCTTATTTGTTTGGATGGATTTGAGTTTAGCATTTTTAAAACCATAATGCATGGATCGGGTGATTAAAACGAGTAAACCCAGGCCACCCGAACCGTGTACACCTCTACCCGCGGCGCATATTTTCTGATTCAGATTATTAGGCATGAGATCAGGTGGCCAAAAACAAGCGATCTTGGCGCACAATTAAGCCAACAACAATCTCTCGATGGGGGAAAGGAATTGGTTGTATTTTCTTTTCAATGAAGAATTTTGTAACACCATAGGCAAGACGGAGTACTATTTATGCTCATAAAAAATTAACTTCAACTAACAAAATGTGTTTTGGGTAAAAGAGAGGAGTTCTTGTCAGAACTTCGGAGTTAAACGTACTCGCTATGGAGTACGACAAAGATGGATGATATTATAGGAAGTAACATTGATATGCATCCCAAAGAAAAATCTATGAGGATCGACACAAAGTGGACAATATGTTATCAGGGAAGATTCAAGATGTTACAAGTAGTATAATAGCCTCTCTGCATGCCTCTTGAATGATGATGGGACAAACCTCCACATGGACGTTGAGTCCCAAAAAGGGGGGGGGGGGGTATGTAACACCTTAGGTGAATCGCACATCGACAAAGCACGAGAGAGTTCCATGATTCATAATTAAGAAACCAATCTTAACCGACAAGACACATTTGGGGTGAAATGGAAGAGTTCTTGTGAGAACTCCGAAGTTAAACGTGCTCACTATATATGAAGCACTACATGGATGAATGACTTTATAGGAAGTTACATTGATATGCACGCTAAGACAAAATCCTCGAAGTTCTAGATCCAGAGCGAGAAAAGGTTCGAGATGTTACAGATTTGATTGTTAAAACATAGTGAGAGGCTTTCTAGACACCAAGAAAATTTAAGCTTCATCCCTCTGTCTTTAAGTGGTTGAAATCAGGACGAACAAAAGTTAGGTGACGAAAATCAGTGAGTCAGTGTCCGCTTGATCATCGAACGATAGGGCCGTTTGTATCAGAAGGTCCATGTGATCAATTTGTTGTCCGAAAAGATCATATGATGATCTTGGTTAGCTTGACTATTTTTCAGACCAACAAAAAATTGTTTCAATGCAGTGCATGTCAGGTTGTTATCCAGTAGAGTAATCTTGATAATTGAAGGATTTTGGGCTTGCATATTATCTAATATTTTTTTATTAGTTTGTGTTTGTCCTCCTCCCAAACATATATGGAGGTTATGCGGCATAACCTACATCATTCAATTTTTCATGTGCTGTGCGCGTTGCACGGAAGGACCCCTTGGTCCTTTTGCTTTATCGAAAGGAGTCCATTAAATAAAAAGGCATCGGAATATTACTGAAAGGAGGACAAAACTTGAGTATTAATTAATTATTGCTCTTTGACTGGTATTAATTATTTACCATGTACGTACACTTTTTGGGAATAAATAAATATTCAAGTAATTAATATGAATATTTTATTATTCAAATCGCGTTATATGTATTGGATAGTTGAAAGGGTAAAAGCATAGCAAGTAAAATACATACGGTTATTTTACTTTGTCTCTAATCTAATGGTATGTTTAACAGTACGTTAATAGTGATAAATATATAAAATTTATTATTTTAAAATAAAAAATATACAAATAATAGTAAAGTTCACAATTTAATTCATTTAATACGGATATTAAACGTATTATACGGGTTTAATACGTGTTTTATATAGGAGCCATCAAATGAATGTAAAAGAATGAAACAGCTTGACAATAATACTGAAACAGAAGTTTGAAACAGATAAAATATGTACGGGTACATATACATGTACTAAATGAATTATTTACTAACTATGGTAAATAAAATTTCTCCATCCCCACGAGGATTGGATCCCCGGCTAGAATCTTGGAAGGGACCATTCGAGTAATACCACCCTTTATAGACCTGGGCGAAGAGGGATTTTCGTCGAGTAAGAATTCTCCAACATTGCTTAGCCAGTAGGGCCTGACAAAAAGCTCTGAAGTCCCTAAACCCAAGCCCAAAGTTAAACTTGCTCTTAGCTAAGCCCTTCCATGAGACCCAGTGAATGGTATTGCTTGCTGCCTCCGAAAAAGACCACCAAAATCTGGCCATGTGGCCGTCCATCGGTCGAAAAGTTTCCACTGGGATCCTAAAACAGCTCATTGCATGGATTGGGAGATTAGAGACAGAAGTACGAATCAAAATATACTTAGCGGCTCTAGATAATGTCCACTACTTCCAACCCTGAAGCTTTTTGAGCAACTTCTCCTCAAGAAAGTGAAAAGTATCTTCCTTTCAGCAAGAGATTAGAGAAGGCCGTCCAAGATAATGATCTTGCTCCCCTATAGCCCCAAGATAAAGCCATCCCATCAATTTGTTATAGGTAGTGGAAGTTTGGGTTGCGGGTAATAGATAACCCACAAACTGCACCAACTCACACAAGTTGTGGGTAACCATACCCACAAGTTGTGGGTAATTGGTTGGTTATGAGTAGTAAAATAATAATTTTTGTGTTTATTGGTAACTTGCAAAATGTGAGATGTATAACTACACCCACCTCAATTTCCACCCTTTTATTGAAACATGACGTGGACTTATTATACAGATTATTTTTAATCATTAAGGCGATGAAGAATGATGTGTGTGTATGCAAAACATGAACAAAGAGTTAGCTGAGGTGGGAAAGATGCTTCGTCGTTATAGGTTTGGTTTGTTACAAAGTGAAGTAGGATTACATTCAGATCCCAACTCTTGGGCTCTTTAATTTGAAAAAAAAAAATTGACAATTGATTACAAATCCCAATTATGCTTGTTTGTATGTTTTACTATGTAATATTATAGATTCAGCTGGATCTTTCTCCAACATAGAGTAAAATTCATTTCTTTGGTAACAATATTGGTTAGAGCTTAAAGAGGGGCTCAGAATCTGGTCCAAAGGAGAGCTAGAGAGAGAAGTTGGTAGTTCATTGGAAGTGATGTTTTTCTTCTTCTAGTATACACGTAACAAGATATTACAACAATCCTAAAACAAGGCTACCAACAACAACTTGAATTGAATTCAACGGCTAATCATTGCCCTCTAAATTAGCCTCTCTCTCACAACGTCATTGATCTTCCCCAGAGCAACACACAGCAGCGCAACACTCGAAGCAACCGAAACACGCTAGAGCCGTGCACAGTTGGGTCAAGGCTACTGCACACTGGTTGTTCATTCTGGAGCAACACTGGACGCAACACATGCAACAGCAGTCCCCATACAACCTCCCGCAACAGTTGGAAGCTGCATTTATTATCATCTCCGCTGCCTCTGGCAACTTCTGTTCCTCGGCCCCTGGTGCTATATTCTCCGTGGTTGCTGCCAAGCTTCCGAACCCAATCCCCAAGCTTGGTAGTATTACTCTTCTCTCGCTCTCTTTCTCTCCCTTCTGCTGAGAGTTGGCTTTCTTTGATCCCTGTTTCTGTGGTCATCACTCTTAGCGACAAATCATACAGCAGATTTTTTTACTTACATTATCAAAAGATGACATTATTTGTATTTACCTTGCGTCCAGCAGCAGGCGATTCTGTGGGCTGGCACACTGCTCTCGTAGTTTCCAGTAATGACATGCGTGTGTATTCAGACACAATCCCTGTTTGTACGCTAATTTTGGAAACCTGTGTCAAGTGATTATTAAGTGTAAGATCACTAAAATAGTAGAGTATGAATGTGGTCATATTCCTATTCGGTAGAGATTGCAAAATCATGTCATGTTTAGTCACCAGAAAAAATTAATATCAATTTTGGTCATTCGAATTACTAAAACAGATCATATTTAGTCACTCTTCCGTTAGCCTCCATCCAACTCCGCTCACTCGAATTACTTTTTTTTTTTTTATGAATGTCACTCGAATTACTGAAACATGTCATATTTAGTCACTCTCCCGTTAGTTTCCGTAACGGAGTTGGACGGAAACTAACGGGAGAGTGACTAAATGTGACATGATTCAGTAATTTTTTCTAGTGACTAAACATGATATAATTTAGTAATCTCAGTGATCAAATGTGGCATTTACCCTATTCATATATATATAATAAGAGGATGATAAAAGAAAGTGATCTATCACTAATCACTACCTTCTCCTCCATCTGCTTACTTATTGAAAACCATGCTTGGGCTGTTAGAATATCAATTTGTTGCTTTGCACATACCTGTAGCAGGGGCAAAATCATTTAAGCATCAATCAAATACCACTAGCTAAATTTTGGAGTTACTTCCTTATGTACATATCAATGCATCTCAATGTGAAGCAGCGTCCATAGATACTCAGCTGGTAACCTATCAAGAGGTGAGCGGAATATGAAAAGTAAAAGCACATCAAATACCAATACAAATCTAGCCATAAGATTCACTTGCTTGATGATATGATCCATAATGAAAGAACCTACATAAGGATCAAGTTTCTTAACTACTCATTTTGTTTACCATCTAGAACTAAGTGTGTGCATGTGACCCAACACACAATTAGCTTTACAATGCCCAAAGGATCTCAAAGCACACAATCCTCTCAGGCAAAGGTACCCTTCTAATCCTCTAATCAAAGCAGTCAAAATCGGGATTTTACCTAAAATTA